TACCACTGAGTACAGTTGACAGTGATGAGTTCTGTTGATAACGAGGATACGCACACCGCGACCGCTGCCCCTAGCGAATCATCGGTACACTTGAGCCCAGGATTCAGCCACAAGAGATCGTTTAGCGAAATGTTGTAACTTCTCGCAATGTCCACACATCGTTCGCTCGGCGACGCGTCGTGAACCTTGCCGCAGGAGCGAATTATCGCGGAATTGGAAGAGATGCGACCCGGCGCAGTGCAAAATGTAAGCGAAAGCGGGAGCGGTCCGGAGCAATTCAAGCCCGGGTTGATCGCGATTAGCTGACGATAAGAAATGCCATTACGCGACGCAATTGACGCGCAGGTGTCGTTTGGAACGACTACATCCATAGCGGAGCATCCCCAAGTGAAATTCGCGGCATCGGCGACTAGGAGAACGTAGTCCGGAATCAACGGCAGATCGCAGTCCAGAAACGGGTTCCGCTGCACGAGAAATTCAATAGTGAAGCCGAAGGTGTCGGCGACAGTTTGGCACGTGTCGCCTGCCATTACGGAGTAGGTTTGAAGGCCCGACTGGAACGAGCCTACGATGCAGGTCATGGCACGGTCAGTTCGGGAGCCAATCACGGAGCCCTGTAGCAGAGCAGGGGAGTAGCAAGCAGGGTAGCGAATGGGAAGGGTAAGAATACGCGAGTATTAGCACCCGCGAAGGAAAGGAACCACCATGAATGAATGACAGCAGGGAAGACCGGGGGACAGGGAGGAAGGGAATGAAAGGCTAGGAGGAAGTGAACTGAGAGATCAGCTGCAAGTAGTAGGGAAAGGTCAACTTACCGCAGGACAGGAACAGGTATAGGTGCCGTCGAACTCGTTATTGCATGTCCCGACACCACAAGGGTTGGGATTAGCGTCACACGGTGTAGCCGTAACACACTTGGGCGCACTCTCCTCCAGACGCTCAACGAAACCCGGGGGACAGTTACATCTCGCCCTGCCGCTTCGCACTTCGCACACGCCCCCGCCGCAAGGGTTGGGCGTGATGACCTCGCATGCCCTGCTGTTCCTCTCGTAGAAAACGGGGTAAATCGCGTTTTCGCTCATCACGTTACACTTTCCGTTCCCGTCTGGTAACATCCTCAAGCGCATGAAACCGTTTTCGCCCCAGTTAGTTCCCCACGTGTTCTTCAGAATCCAATACGAACCGTCCGGGTCAGTTACATTGTAACCAGCAAGAAGCATTGCATGGTCAATGTCGCCACTGCAATTGCCATCGAAAATGCCGCCGGAGTAGCTCTGGGGGGGAAGCATAAGGTAGAAAGGAAATGGGCAAGAACGAGTAATGGGAGAATACATGAGTGCACAGACAAGGAAACATGGAAATGTTACTCAGTCAGTGTACCATAAAACAAAAAAAAAGTATCGTTGTTATAACGGGTGTGCTTACAATGAAGTCGTTGGTGCCCGAAGCGAGGTACACGAGCACGGGCTGCTGCGCCACGGCCTTCATCAGCGCCTTGTTGCTTCGAACCGGCACCTTCTCCCACCCCGTCATCTGCGCGAACCGGGCAAGAGGAGGGAAGATTGGAGCTCGCGAAGAGTTTTTTAGTGTCGTTCCACACGAAAGTGATTGCGACGGGTGAAACAGGCTGTTGATTGTCGCGCAACGCGTTGCTCGAAAGCAGAACGAGGAAGAGTAATTCCATTTAACGATAAGAAGTAATGTGGAAACGGGGGGAGAGTAGGGGATGGAAATGGTCCCAGAGGCGGTTGGAGAGGGGAGAGGGGGAAGGGGCGGTGGAGGGGGGGGGGGGGGAGAAGGGGACGGTATGTGGGGTCAATGGGAGGGAGTTAGCACCTTGGCCTTCAGCAATCCTTGGGCGATATTGCGGCACGTGGAGTTGCCGTGCGCAACATATGGATACTCCTCATTGGTAGCGAGTCCACCATTAGCGAGGATGAACTGGAACCCCCACTCCGGCCACCCCCCCTCGCAGCACTGCCCCGCCGCGCAGTCGCACACGTGTTGCGGCGACAGCGGCTCCGCCGTCTGATTATTCACCAACGCCCAGACGATGCTAACGATATCCGTCGACGTTAACGCCCAGCAGCTCTCGCACAGCTGCTGATTCAGCACCGGCGTCATCACGATCGTCCGTCGCCAGTCTACTTCGCTCGGCTGTGCGACGCTCTGCCAGCGGTACCACGTCATGTTAATGTCGCCCGCGCTCGGCGCGGAGTTAAGGCCCGGCGCTTGGAGCGCCTGCGGAGCCGCTGGCGATACGTCGAGGGCCCTACGTCTCTGAGGACTCCGCATTTCGCGGCCGAAGTCTAGAAGTTTCCGCGACGTCTCTCCGCTCAGGGTTCGCCAGCCTCTGGAGGAGCCTGCGAGCCTTCGCTGCTGTCGCAGCTGGCGACCGTCGCCGTCGCCCGCAGTCGCCTGCGACGGGAGCGATTCCTGCGGGGCGTCATTCTGGGGCTGGTCAGGCAACAGTCCCTGTGATCGCATAAAAATCTCGAACGCGCTAGGTTGGACGGGGAAAGGCGCAGGTTCGGCGTCGCCGCCGTCCCCGGCAGTGACAGACACTTGAAAGAGCAGGAGAACTAGAACAGGTCCGATAAATATTGAGTAATACGTCATTTTTACTCTCAAGTTTGGCTTGTTTGCGTTTTGAGCGAAAAGCAGGTATTGTAAATTTGTGGGTGGGGAACAAGGAAGGAAAGGGGCGCACGGTGTCTTTTGACACCAACTGGAAGTTGTAGGTGGAGATTAATCGGCTGTAACGACTACTTGTAATGTGGAGAATACGACTCGGCAGCTAGAAAATTGGGTCAATGCTGTCCCTTCGCTGGAAACTCTGATCGTGGTCTTTCAGATTATTTGTTCAAGGGTGGAGAGGCAAGCTTGCAGTCAAGAGCTTGAGGAAGACAGGCCTGGTTTGAATGGATCTAGCTTCTCGAATTTGTGGTGGTGCAGGCGAGGCTTCAAGCTAGAGGTTGTTCTGTTCTGTCTTGCCTGTCTGCCTGTCTGTGCGAGGGGGTGGAAGGGGTGGAGGGAAGATTGTGTCTGGTTGGTTGGTTGGTTGGGAGGACCTTTGGTTGGGCTTGCAAACTGGATGGGATCACGTGTCGGATTATCGCTTTCAGAACAAACCCCGCGGATTTGAGGTCATAGGTGCTGTCTCCCGCGACGCGATCTTCTACTGTATCAACAGGTGATGGGGGGACACGTCGAACAGCTGGGAAACCTCGTGCCAATGGTGGTTGCTCCAAGGCTCCCTTGCTTTCTCCCGTCGGTTTTGCCCCCACGAAACATCTTGGCTCACCTCACCTACTCGTTCGATTGTGTGTTTTTTTGTCTCTGGTTGCCCCTGCAGCAGTTCCCTCCCCTCACTTCCAAGTTCCCATCCCACACACCTACAGCAACACTGGCCAAAGTTGGACGCATAAAGCGAACCGTCACTATTCTGCCAGGTGCACAAAAGGGGTCAGTTGGATCTTTGTGCCAAAATGGGTCTGTGGCAATGTTTTACGGGGACCGACGCTGTAGTCATTCGTTCGAATCGCAGGTGGGTCGAGAGAGTTTGTTGAGTTGTTGCCAGCTTTATTCAGAAACTACACGTTGCAGTTAATTCTGGTGCCCCTGATGTCCGTTCGACAGAAACGAAGTCGCTGGTTCCATTTCAGAACCCTAGTTTCTTCCTGCCCACGCGTTAAGTTTCCAGAAGTAAAGCAGGAAAAAACATACGAGGAACTTCTGACGAGATACTCTTCAACTGTTTGATTCTTGGGCAGAAGAATATACGAAAAGGCAACGTCAAACAAAGTGCACATTCTCTTCCGTGATGGCGGCAGCTTTAGGGCAGGATATGCAGGTGGGGGACAGCTGGCGTCAACGATATGTACACCCACCTCACGCATGTTCTCGAAGCAGCAAATCCCGTCAGGGCCAGTCCGAGTTGGGAGAATCTTCATTTTTACAGGCAACAAGCAGTCGAGCAGGGCAACCCATATGCTTTGGAGGGGGAGCCCGGATGGACTGGAGGGGGAGGGGAATATATGTGCGTGGGTAGGGTAGGGTAGGGTATGTCACGTGTGCATGGGGAATGCTTCGGTAAGCGCCATTGTAATCCGTTATAAGGCTCGACCCATGGTTGATGCAAAAGAGCAGCTAGCATTACAAATAAAATATTTAACACACGATTTTTAGAGATAATACAATAGCATCAATTTTAGATACAGTAAAACACAGACATTGTGACAGTCGTAAACATTATCCGTCACAGGGAGTTTGGGCCTTTCGCCTGCAATGTTTCTCTATGCTCGATGCCGCTCCACGACCCGCCTTCCTTCCATTCTTGCGCAAATTCTCGGCACATCGCAACATACGAGTCAAGCCATTTGGTGCGCCATGCCTATGAACATGCTCCGTCCAGGAGGAGTGCAGTGTCAACGCAGCCAGAAGCATACAGACATATAGATAGTGAGAAAAAGGACAGGGAAGGGGGGTGTGAGGGATGATAGGAGAGTGTAGTTTAACAACTTCAAAAACAAAAAGGCTAGAAGTTGCCCGCAAGCCTGCGTCCCTGCCTCTCCCTCCAACCCCTAGCAAAAGAACGGCACCTAATTACAAAATATTCCATATGCTCTTGCCTCCATGCCTGCATGAAAACGTTAAAAAAAAAAAAAAAAGAGGATATATACTTGACCGAAAAGATCTCTTAAGTTTGTTATACCAGCGATGCGCTGAGTTGCATGATTTCTGGTACGCGTATTATCTTGGCACATCCCACTTGACTTCCACGTACAGTGCACCGATCCACACATACACAAATGCAGCGGGGAAGAGGGTGGGAGAGGCGGGGGCGAGAGGGAGCGAAAAGGGGGGACAAGGCGGGGGCAAGAGAGCGAGAAAGCGGGGGGAGGGGGGGGGGGGGGGGGGGGGGAGAGGGGGAAGGTGGGGGGAAAGTGGGAAGGGGGAAAAAGTGAGCACTTACCTCGTAATTCCATGACCCATACAGGTCAGCGTCCTTTGCATTCGGCCAGGCAGGGGAGAATGGGGAAGGGGAGGAAGGGGGGAGGCAAAAGAAGAGAGTCTCGTACCTCGTAATCCCATGACCCATAGAGGTCAGGATCCTCTATATTCGCCCACACATACACAAACGCCTTCATCTCTCCCTCTCCTCCCTCTCCCCCCCCTCCTCCCCCCAACGCCTTGCTCGCCTCCTCCCCTGCTTGCAGCTGCTCAATTTGTTCCGCTGCCTGAGAGTCTCCCTCCCCTCGTGTCAACCCTTGCCCGGAAGCTGGCTGGGTAATTAACCCTTGTGGGGAAATCGGCTGGGTAACTACCCCTTGTAGGGTAACTAACTGGGTGGAGCGCACATACTCCACATCCTCAAAGGCGTCAAAGAGGCTCATTTCTGGCGGGGAGAGGTTGAGGAGCAGCTGGGGGGAGCAGGGGGAGCAGGGGGAATGGGATGGGGACTGGTTGTTAGCAGCGCACATACTCCACATACTCCACATACTCCACATACTCCACATACTCCACATACTCCACATACTCCACATACTCAAAGGCGTAAAAGAGGCTCATCTCTGGTGGGGAGAGGTTGAGGAGCAGCTGGGGGGAGGGCGGAGGGGGCAAGGGGGGAAGGGGAAAGTGGAAGCGAGGAGTAAGATCAAGAAACTGGCTGGGTAGAAGGCGCATACTCCACATCCTCAAAGGCGTCAAAGAGGTCCATTTCTGGTGGGGAGAGGTTGAGGAGCAGCTGGGGGGAGGGCAGAGGGAAGGGGGAGAGGTGGGAGGGAGGGAAGTGATAAGGGGAGAGGAGCAGGAGGAAGTTTTTTAGACATAACAAGGAGAGAAAAGAAAGAAGGAGGAGGAGATGAGGGATGAGGAGTTTCAGAAGAGGGGGCACAGCAGAGAAAACATGTATCAACACAGAAGGGGAAAGAAAACATGTATCAGCACAGAAGGGGAAAGAAAACACCACCATGCATCATGGAAACTCCACAACACTTTGGGAAGAAAAGAACAACAACAAAGGAACAAAGTGAATCTCTTTCATACGCACCCCCTTCCTTCCCCCAGCCTCCTCTCCCCCAGCCTCCTCTACCCCAGCCTCTCTCCCCCAGCCTCTCCCCCAGCCACTCTCCCAGCCTCTCAGCCACTCTCCCACCTTCTTCCAGCGTCTCCTCCCCAGCCTTCCCCCCAGCCTTCCCCCCAGCCTTCCCCCCAGCCTCTCTCCCAGCCTTCCCCCCAGACTCTCTCCCAGCCTCTCCCGCACCCTAAGCCTCTTTCCTCACCTACTTCCTCTGCCAATCAGCTTCTTCCCCCTTCCTCCCCCTTCCCCAACCATTCCCCCCGTCCGCCGCACCTTCCCCATCACGGAGTCGTGCGCTTTCGGAACCACTGCGGGGTATTGCCGCCCCTTGATGCTGTGCCGCGAGCTGGTGGGGGGAGGAAGGGGGGGGGGGGGGGGGGGGGTGGTGGGGTGGTTGTGGGGAATGAAGGGGACTAGTGCGGGGTGTTGCCGCCCCTTGATGCTGTGCCGCCTGCTGGGGGGGGGGAAGGGGGGGGGGCAGGAAGGAAGGGGGTTAAGGTGGGGGAGGGAGCGGAGGGAGAGAAAGGAGGGACTGAAGGGGCGGAAAAGGGAGCACTGGGGGGATTGCAGCCCCTTGATACTGGGAAGTGGGGGAGGGGGGGTGAGGGGGGTGAGTGGGAGTTGTGGGGGGCTTTGCGGGGAGTTAAGGGGGAAGGAAGTGGAGGGAGCTACTGCGGGCTTACAAGTTGGGCAGGCGGGCGGGCGCGGACGCGGGGACTCGATCCAGCAGCGCGCGGAGCACCTCGTCCGCCATGAGCGTGCCGTACGGCACGGCGGGGGGACGGGGGGAGGAGGGGGTGCGGGAATCAACTCACAAGTTGGGCAGGCGCGCGGGCGCGGAGGCGGGAACTCGGTCGAGCAGCGCGCGGAGCACCTCGTCCGCCATGAGCGTGCCGTACACGAACACGGGCGTCGACAGAGCCGCATTTGCCGCCGCAGATGCCGCCGCCATATCTCGACGTTGAGATACCGGGGGATCCCTTCCCGCGAAGTGCGTTCTAACGAATGCTGCGCTTCCGGCAGCGTTTCCGGGTGTGGTTCTGGCTGTGCTTATAACGGGGTGTTGCGCTTCTCTGAGGAGCCGTCAGTGACTTCTCTGAACTCCTCGACGGCCTGTTGTGAGTCGACACGTCAGCAACTAGCGCTGAGAATTGAACTACTACCAGGGAATCTTCGAGAGCTCTAAGCGAGCAAGTGGATGAGACAAATAGAGGCTTTGAACTCTAGGCTTTGTCACGCGCAGGCTCGGGACAAAAGTCGCGCAGAATCGCGCTTCTGGTTGAAAATGCGTAGGTCACGCAGAACCTTGTTGAAGCGCACACGGCGCTGCTAGTAGCTGCTACCTGGTGTGTTCTCCCTGTTCGCAGTGCGCTAGGGACAGATTTCCCAAGCTCTAATATACCCCGAAATTTTCAGCCCCCCCTGAAGCCCAGAAATCTACCGCGAGGTTGATTACCGGACGACAGTTACGAGTTACACGTTTCGCCAGCATCACTGCTGGGCAAAGATTCTGCGGCCGAAAGGGATAATCGCCAGTTTTGCTCGCAGTTCATTTCGCTCATCCTTCGCGAAAGACAGCTATGCGTTTCCCGGCAGTTTCCATACACGGTCGCAGGTCGGGATTGGACGTTTTTGCTGATCTGGCACCGTGCAATGAGCGTTCAGGAGCTGGAGAAACGCCACGTCATGACCAGCTCAGCAGGAATTTTAACCAATCGAGTGTCTCGACGAGAAAGTCTGCTCCTTGTATCGAGGTCGCGATGCAATAAGGAATTGTTCGTAACCCAGGTTTCCTCCATGGATACAAGCTGTAAAGACTTATAGTATACCTCGAAATGAGCTAGCTCCTGCGCATACTCTTGATGAACGTGCAATCGAGATTGCTGTTACGCGGACAAGGCGAGTCAACTCTTGTCTGACCAGACTGAGGTGCGAACCCAGCTTCCATGGAGCATCACCACCAGACACCCACCTTCGCCCGACCTCGGACCGACTGAGATCGTTACAACAAATAATTGATTGGAAGCTATTTCTATTCAAACAACCGTGATTAGTTTGTTTGTCGGATTGCTTCTGAATCGGGCAGAGCAAAACCTTCGACAAAACAAAACACTTAGCAAAACGACATTGCTGGATTGGTCACGCCGTCAAGTGCTGACAATTAGGCTTGCTGCCGCTACACACCTCTTTTGGAGCTTCTTACAAGATCCTCCCTCCGGACTGCTTCCCTCCTAAGGGTCCGGACAGAGCCGGGGAAACAGCAGCTTTTCAAATTCAAGGTTTCCACCTGACAGAAGTTTGTTTTGTTAGCACGCGTGCAGCGATGTTGGTGAACACGTCACAAATCCTGCCCATCACAGTTTCGGTAACGCTCACACCTGAGGTTGTTGCGTCAGTCCAAATGAAGAAGAGTTAGCAAGCTGGCTTGGCTGAACCCAAGCCGGCCGTCCCTAATGTTTATTGGGCCCTCTGATTGGCTAATCTTGCCCATTAGAGTCAGGTAGATCTCTCGAAAGCAATCCACCCCGTCGATGACGCAATCTTGCCCCGAACCCCACGGCCAGGATTCCTTACCACAGTTGTTGCTGTGACCGTGCCGCGTGCAATTTTCTCCCTCACAACTCCCGAGTCGCTACATCTTCAGCAATCAATTGGGTTGGCGTGGGCGAAATTGGTGAGGAGCGAAGCCAGGGTAGAATTGCTGCAGACGCGGGGTAGGCTGGTGAGCTGAGGGGGGATGCATGGGGTGGCATTTGATTGACATGCAGGATTTTCAGGTGGAAGCACTGAGCACATATAGTTCGCTTGCAAGTAAAGGGGTAAATAATATGCAGGGAGTAGTTGATACTTCATTCGCGAACCGAGACGGAAGAGCCACCCTCCGTCTGCCGTATCCAAAGGAACGCAGCTATTGAACGCCGCCGATCGTACTTGAGCGCTGGACTCGGCATTCCAATATTGATCCTTTCCCGCGCAATAACCAGTCATTTCAGAACTTATAATCCACCGCCTGCCTCCTTACCTCTCTATAAGCGTCTCCTCTAGCACCTGGTAAACGACGTTATCCCCCCGTTCCCCGACGAACGATGGCTTCAATAAAGGAACGCGACAGAAAGATTAGCGCGCGATTTGCCTCACCGGTCAACGACATTATCCCTGCGGAGAGTACTTTTCGCGGCACCAGTTTCAGCAGCGGCCGCAACTCCCGGAGCATCAGCACCGGCCGGAACGCCATTGGCGCAAGCGATCGCTTCAGCCGCCGCTTCAGCCGCTACACCAGTGAGTTGGAGATTACTGAGGCGCAGCCGCTGGATAGACCTCGGTCGGGCCCGCTCGAAGCGGCATTTGACCTCTTCGAGTCGCAAGACCGGCGTTTTCGATGCAGACCAAGCACCAGCGGGGAATTCGGCGGAGCACGTGATAGCGCGCACGAAATAAGCGGCGCGGTCGGTACTAACGGAGGGGACACCGGAAAACGCGACTCGTTGCTCCATCGCCGCCGCCTTTTCCGTCACAACTCGGCAGCTTTCATCCGAACGCCATCGCGAGCCGTCGGATTCCTCGCATTCCAGTCATCCAACGGCTCGTCGAGTCCCTCGCCTTCCCCAACGGGCTCCGCGGCGGCTCTCACGGCGCCCTCCCCCACGAGCCGCTCGCGGCTTCTCCAACGGTTGCGGGGGAAAAGCGACTCCCCTGCGCGCGAATCTTCTGCCCGAAACCCCCCTGTCGCGCGGAATCAAAACGGCGCGATTCCGGTGAGTCGCAGCGTTGACGCGTCGCCGCCATTTTCGGCGGAGCAGGGATCGCGCTCCGATATTACAAGGGTGAGAAGCGGGCGAAGCGGCGGGCGAAGGATGCAGGCGATAATGAGCGTTCCGAACGCCGTCGCAAGCAGCGCGAGCGACGCTGGAGCTAATGTCGCAAGCATCCCGGGCAGCGGAAGCAGCAGCGAGAGCTTTCCCAGAGTCGCACGCGTTCCGTCTACTAGAAACGTTGCAAACGTCGCCAGTGTCGCCAGCGTCGCAAGCATCGCGAGCCTCGCGAGTCTTGGCAGCAGCAGCAGCGAGTTCAGCGTGTCGACCATCAAGAGAACTTGCGCAAGCGACGGTAGCAGCGTCGCATTCAGTCGCAGCAGCAGCAACAGCAGCCTGACGACAAGTGCGAGTGTCGCCAATTACAGCTCTAACGCGGCAACAAGTGCGATTTCAGTTGCAACGTCGCTTTCTCTCGCGGCGACGCGCAGCAACCAGAGCAGCATCACAGCGGATGTGACGCAATCGGACGCGGCGAAAGCGGGCTTGACGGAAACGGGGGTGAGCCTAAGAGACGTGGGTCGCCAGCAGCCAATGAGGGGCAATGAGGAACTCCAAGACCGCTCCGAGGGCAACGAGGAGGAACAGGTTGGTGGGGGTACAGCGGAGGAGAGCGAGTGGGGTGACCTGGAGGAGTTTGCTGAAGTGGAGTGCGTCAATTGGCGAGATATTTCTGCCGTCTGCCAAGCCAAGGACGCCGCGGGAATCAAGCTGCTTTTTGTGGACATCCAGGTGGCTGACGTCACTGCGGGCCTTCCTGACGTCACACAGGAGCAAACGCAAAAGCAGGCAGGTGGGGCGCCGGCGCAGCAGCAGGGGCGTCCCTCTCGTCCTCGCTCTCAGATTCAAGTCTCGTACCATATAACCTTCCCAGACCATTCCTCACCGGCCTCAACTCCTCCCGCCTCCGCAACTGAAGCTTCTCTGTCTTCTGCTGAGGCAGTAAGCGGCTCGAGCTCTGGTGATAACTGCACCAGCAGCAGCAGTAGCGGTGGAAAGATTGCAGCCCGCAATGTACATACTCCTGCTGCTGCTGCTTCCACCAATGCTGATCCCTCCACTGCTCCTGCCACCGTCTCTTCCACTGCTGCCTCTACTGTCCCCACCGCCCCACCCAACCATGCCGACCCACCCAGGAGCACCCCACCCAGCAGCACCCTACCCAGCAGCACCGCACCCAACAGCACCTTACCCAGGCCCCTTCTCCCCGTCAAGATCGCCCACCTGCGGAACCGACACCCACACATTGACCTCCCCACCCTACACTCTCCCAGCTGCTCCTCCCCCTCCCAACTACACTCCCCATACCGCTCCCCCCACATGGACTCCAATTCGAGAACCTCAAGATTCGAATCTCCTTCCAAAGTCCACTCTCCGTCCAGATTCGATTCCCCCTCAAAATTTGATTCCCCGTCATCGAGATTCGATTCCCCATCGTCACGATTCGATTCTCCAAATTGGGGGCGGCAGTCACGCACGCCATCCTCTACCAGCGTAGCCTCTCCGTCCAAGCATCGCACTCACCAGTCAATTACAGCATCTTCTTCCGCCTCTGCCTCCTCTTCATCCTCTCCCTCACCCTCATATTCCTCCTCCCCCTCCTCCATCGCCTCCCCGACCGCCGCCCTCATGCGATTCCAGTCGGCTCTCTTTTCCAACTCCCCCTGCTCGCCTCTCTCCTCCTGCTGGTCCTCCTCCTCCCCTGTTGAATCCCCTCGCAACTCTCCTCGGGAATACCAAGAGTCCTCCCCTGGGGAATGCCTGGAGAACCCTGGCCTATCACCTGCCACCCCTGGAAAGATCATGGGAGCTTATCAGCGAAGGGAGAAGGGGGAATTTGACTCTGATGGGTGTGCTAGGAGAACACCTGCCAGTGGACCCAACTCTCCTGCTCTTGCTGCTGTAGCTTGCGCAGCACCTACACTAGCAGGCCCTCCATCCCCGTTATTGGCTGCTTCGGTGTTCAACAGTGGGTCGCCGAGAGCCTCTTCGCCATCCAAGATTCGGTTAAGCGCTAGTGGGAGCGGATCGAGTGGAGGACCTGTGTTGGCACCGTCTAGATTCAGGGCAGGGCCAAGACGAGCAGATTTGGATTCCCCATTGGCTGAGTCACCGTCCGTAAGGGCTGTGGCAGGAAGTGGGCTTGCTGAGACTACTGACACAACCCTTGAGGTTCTGTCATGCTCAGAGAAACCTGTTGATTTGTCGGGCGAAGAGTTGGGTGGTCACAAGGAACTGGTTGCTTCAAGAGATGAAGGATTGAGGGAAGGGTCCACAAAGGTGGGCCCTGGGAATAAATGGAAGCGGCTCGTGAAAGCAGTGATGCATCGCCAAGTTGCGGCGTCTTGAAGTGATTTCTGGCTAACAAATGCATGACATTGGCAGGACAAATAACAGAGGGGACTGTATAACTGCTGTATTATAACTGTATTATGTATGGTTTGAAGTATTGTATAATATTCAACTGTCTTCAAGTTTACAGTTGCATGGCAGCTGAGTGTACTGTGGTAATGAATTGTGGTTTGAGTCTGCTTGTTACGGGTGCAATGAATTGAAGTAGCGAGAATTGCACTAAGGTGTCAAACGAGTACAAAATGTGAGCGAAGGCATGAGCGAACATTTATACGCGAAACATGCAAACGGTAACGCGGTGCGTGTGAGCTAGCTAGTGCTACGCTGGCAGCGAGGCTCGGGCTAGTCGTGAAGCGTAGACCGACACGGCCGGGCCAGTGCGAGGTTTGGTGAAACAGTGCACGCAAAGTTGGCGAAGCCCCGTTTGCAGTAACGGGCGAACAACGGCTGCTGCTGTACGCGATGTTGCTGGGCCCGCTAAGGAATATCGAGAAAATTCCTTAGACTACCCCCCCCCCCCCCCCCCCCCCCCCCTCAAGAAGCCCCCTCCGCTACGCGAGTGCGTGTACATCGCGGAAACCCTGGCTCCTCAGGTACACTTGCAGGGTGTTGGAAACAATAAGTCCTAAGCGCGCTTCTGTCGCATCAAAACCCAAGGCACCAAGCGAAGCAGTCCCAATCGAAGCATCGAGTCAACCTCGGAGGTTAGGGTAACCGCCTGGAGGTTACGAGAAAGTCAAAGGTCGCCGACCTTTGACTCGACAATTACAGCGCGACAGTTAAGGACACACAACTGACTCGTTACAGAGCAGTTGCCCGAGTCGCACTGTATCGAACCGCAACAGCAATACAGTTATCTACCTATCTATTCGTATTCCCTGTACTCTTATATAAATCCTTGTATTTGCTTGTTTAATTTAATCAACTTTGCTCTCACACACCAGTGCAAGGTCGGTTCAAATTCTTCACTAAAAGCTTCCGCTATTACAACTACTTCACCTAGAGTTATCCCTTGCAAAGATCCTAAGGGGCTATCTCAGCCCAACATGGTATGAGAGCAGACAAGGGAAACTCTACTCTTTTTTTTTCAAGATCATTACAAGACATGGCAACAAACAAGGAAAGGAGCTCCCCTAATGGCTCCTCGGGCACTACTCCTACTCCACCGCCAGCCTCTGGCCTGCAGACAGAAGAAGGCACGGCAACAAGACCAAGAGGAACGTCAACCGAGACCCCCATGAACCACCCTTCGGACTTTGACCAGAACATGATGGAGAAATTTTTCTCCTTCATGTCCTTCTACGAACAACACCAGCAGTCGGGACCTGCACAAACACACAACAGCAACAACGGAGCGACACCCATGAGTCTTGATGGGTCGTCATATACGCGAGGAAACCAGCAGCAGCAACCTACCTTTGCTCCGTACGAGCGCGGGTCAATCAGCTTCGTGCCCCACCCGCAACCTTCACCTGGACAAGAAAGACCACTGGACGCACTTCAAGTTCAGTCGCAGTTTGCACACGTCTTAAAACTGCAAACGTCAAGACCCTTCGACGGCAAAGACTTCTTTACCTGGTCCTTTGAATTCGAGCTGATGATGGAGGGCGCGCAGATACTCGGCTTCTTCGACGGGTCCCTGCAGTATCCAGCCAACGGGACACAATATGAAAAGCAGCAGTATACGTATCAATCAATGATGGCATATACAATCCTATTGAGGAACGTGACACCAACTCAGCAGCAGAACATTCGCTCTTACCGGACCTTCGGCAACTCGGCGGAGCTCGCGTACAGCCATCTGAAGAACCTGTATCAAGCAACAGACAGTGTAAACCAGAGCAGGTTAATGGCGCAGTTGACGACAGTCGAAATGAAACCAGGAGAAAAAGGACTGGCGTATATCAGCCGATGTCGCGAACTGCGCGACAAGCTGCTTCGATGCGGAGGGTCAATCTCTGAAGACGCCTTCGTGACAGTCATCATTGGTGGACTTGGTCCTCAGTGGCGCGCCACCAAAGCCATTCTTCGAGCCCACGGAAGAATCTCTGAAGCTGCACTCTGCGCCGAAATACATGCCGAGCAACAAGATATGGACCTGCAGGAAGAACGACACAGGAAGAAAACGACAGTATCAGAGTTCGCATTCCACACTCAACGACGACACAGCAATTATAACAACCGACAGCAGCAACCGAAGATAGTACCTCCCTTCTGCCACATCTGCAAGACTTCAGGGCACCCGCGCACACACTGCCCGAATCGTCAGCAATCAACGGCACCACAGCGACAACTTCGACCTTCAAGCTCCCAAATGGCTTCAACACAAGCAAGAGCGACGACCACTGTTCAAGCTTCAACGACTTCACCCGGACAACCTGCACAAGGAGCAAGAAATATAATCAACTGCATGACGAAGATAACCGATTCGTGTACAACCGAATCACCACCACACTACTCACCGGAAGAAGAGCTTGACAACAGAAAACCTCGCCGTGAGCTACTCCAGCCGAATCCAACGTACGCCGCCATCGCTCAAAGTGAACCGTCCGGCCAAGACACCTGGTTCTTGGACAGTTGCTGCGGGCAACACATGTGCTCGTCCGGGCGTTTCGTACAACGCGAACATCGACTCCAACGGGAAGTGATCATCACGGTTGCCAACAACCAAAACCTGCGCACACGAAGACAAGGAGTGGTACAGCTTCAGTCAAGAGAAACAAATGTCATACTGCACATGTCTAAGGTACTCATCGCTGAAGGACTCGGCTACAACTTACTGAGCGTTAGCCAGTTGATGGCGAAAGGAATTCATCTGGAAGCCGACAGCACGACCCAGGAGTTCAAACTTTACCACGGGAGAGGCGGTCTCTACATCGGGAAAGCAGTGCTGAAGAACAACGTCTTCGTCCTCGACTTCGTTCCTGACCTGGGCACTGCAGACAGCGACGCCATCGTGAACTTCACTGACTGGACACACCCTCCGGATCTCGACCCCGACTTCAGCCCAGGAGGCTTCTGGTACTCGCACACCATTCCTGAAGCAGAACGAACACGAGCATTAGCAACAATTCGACAATCGGCAGCAGCAGCAACAACATCAGCAGCAGCAACAACATCAGCAGCAGCAACAATATCAGCAGCAGCAACAACATCGGCAGCAGCAACAACATCAGCAGCAGCAGGAACAACGACACCAGTCACAGTCGACGAAGCACCACCAACACCCGCGCAACAGCTGAATCCGACTCAACGTGAAGTCCACCGAAGCGCCAACCTCGTCGCCAGCTTTTACTCCAACTCCGACGCATATCAGCGTTCACCTGGACACCGCGCCTCTGAAGAGATCTGGCACGCACGCACAGGACATCCAAGCAACACGGTTTTGAATAACACGATAAGAGCAGGAGTCCTCGACAAAGACTCTCTACTCCTACCCGATGGCAGAGAACTCCAGAAGGCACGAGGGACTTGCCTTATATGTCCCGAAGCTGACTTACCTCATCGACCGTTTGCTTCACACCACAACCCGAGCGCTCCAGCGTACACACCACTCGAAAAAGTCTACAGCGACACCCTCTACAATCGCGAACCAGGACAAGTCAACTACAACTACACCATTACCTTCATCGACGCCGCCACTCGATACGTCTGGCATCGCAACCTACCCAGCCGCGACATGGCGCTCGCAGCATTCGCCGCCTGGCTACCGATAGCAGAGAGAGAGTCTGAAACACAACTGAAAAATTTCCAGTCAGACGGAGGTGGCGAGTACACCTCTCACCGCTTCAAGCAGTTCCTGGCGGAAAGGGGGATCAAGCAACTCCTCTCCCTTCCCTACGCACATCAGCAGCAAGGTGTTGCAGAACGACTGAACAGGACCCTGCAGAACAGCATGCGCAAACTGTTACGTGGCATGCGGCTACCCAACCACCAGTGGCCAGCAGCAATGGACCACGCTGTCATGCTGCACAACTTGTTGTCGTCATCGTCACTCCCGAACAACGCATCACCGCATCTGCTGTGGACAGGGAAGCAGGGCAGCACGAAAATGTTACGAGTTTTCGGGTGCATGGTACAGTACAGACCCCCAGAAGCACGAGCGGGAAGATTTTCGCAACGGGCACAGTGGGGACTACACCTCGGCATCGAGAAAAATTACAACGCATGGAGAATCTTCGACGTCCACACAAAGGAAACAGTAGCAGCACGTGACGTGATCTTCTACGAAAGACTCACCCTTCAGACGTACCTCGCCAACTTGCACGAGAATCGGGACCTCACCAGTGGTTTTCGTGGTGACCGAGCCTTCGCGTCAGCAGCGGATGAAGCAGACTGGGACGAGCAGAATGTTGACAACGCATCGGCAGAAGCCGGACCTCTCCCGTACTGCTCCGTCAACGTGCCCATGGACGAAGAAAATCCTCTCGACAGTAACAACGCCGAAGTCTTCTACCACTTCGCCGACACCGGTTACGTAACACCTGCAACCGTCAACACAAATGAAGCAGAAAGGATAGGACCGAATTTCATCCCTGATCCAGAAGCGGGAGACGAAGTAGCTTATCCCGAGGATCCAGAACTCCCTCGATACTCACAGACTGGGCTGCAAATCCTCGGCCTCGTCACCGCAGTCCACGGGAA